TACTACTGAGAAAACCCAAAGAAAATGAAATCAGCATACACCAGAGTTACCTGTTCCCCTGTGTTTATAAAGCAGCTCAATTCACATAGCTAAGATATGCAAGCAACCCAGATGTTCATCAGCTGATGATTGGGTAATGAAATTATGGTATGTATATACATGAAATACTACTTAGCTATACAAAGAAATTCTTTTTGAACAAAATGGATGCAATTAGAGATCATTATGCTTAGTGAAATAAGCCAGTCCCAAAAAGACAAATATCATATTTTCCCTGATATATATTAACTGATATACAAAAGTAATATATATGAGTGAAATTGACGTTTTGAGATGTGATTATTGTTAAATAGCCGTTGTCTACACTCCTAAAGAATAGCATTTTTTTTCTAGTTACTACTTATTGAATTCTTTATTTGGTGGAGGGTTAAGCTTGTGATTATAAAGTAAGTTGAAAGTTTGTCATTGCAAGAATTAAAAGAAAAATAAAGGAACAAGGAGCGGGGAAGGTAGTTGGGGAGGGAGGGAGAGTAGCATGGGAAGTATCATTATGTTCTTAATACTGTAAACATGAAATTTATTCCCTTTATATAAATAAAAATTGAAAACCTTAAACCAAGGAACGATAAAAAATGAGTAAGTCAGAAAAAAACAGACTATTTGAGCAGGTACCTCACAAAATAAGATATGTAGGCACTTGAAAAAGTACTCAGTATCATTCATCATCAGAGAAATGCAAATGGAAAAAACTATGAGAATATGTAACTACCCAAACAGCTAACAGTAAAAAGACTGACAGTGCCAAATGATTGAAAAGTTGTGAAGTAGCTGGAACCCTCACACTTTATTGTTGGTAACATAAAGCACTCTGGATCTCCTTGGCTCCTGGCTTTGGCCTGGCTCAGGCCTAGGTGTTGTGGCCACTTGGGTAGTAAACCAGCGGATGGATGATCTCTATGTCTCTCTGTGTCTCCTTTTCTCTCTATAACCCTGACTTTCAAATAAAAAAAAAAATCTTAACATTTTTTGCCCCATCCCCAGCCACCACTAACGGCCAGAGCTATGCCGATCCGAAGCTGGGAGCCAGGAGCTTCTTCCGGGTCTCCCACGTGGGTGCAAAGGCCAAGGACTTGGGCCATCTTCTACTGCTTTCCCAGGCTATAGCAGAGAGCTGGATGGGAAGTGGAGCAGCTGGGACTCAAACCAGTGCCCATATGAGATGCCAGTGCTTCAGGCCAGGACGTAACCCACTGCACCACAGTGCCAACCCCATTGGCCATGGCGGCCATTGGAGGGTGAACCAACGGCTAAGGAAGACTTTTCTCTCTGTCTCTCTCTCTCACTGTCCACTCTGCCTGTCCAAAAAAAAAAAAAATGTCCAACTACAGGGTCGGCGCTGTGGCATAGCAGGTAAAGCTGTCACCTGCAGTGCTTGCATCTCATATGGGCACTGGATCAAGTCCTGGCTGCTCCACTTCCAATCCAGCTCTCTGCTATGGCCTGGGGAAGCAGTAGAAAAAGGCCTAAGTCCTTGGGCCCTGCACTCTACATGGGAGACCCGGAGGAAGATCCTGGCTCCTGACTTTGGATTGGCACAGCTCTGGCTGTTACAGTGAATTGGGGAGTGAACCAGCCAATGGAAGACACCCCTCCCTCCCTCCCTCCTTCCTTCCTTCTCTCCCTCCCTCTCTCCCTCTCTCCCTCTCTCTCTGCAATTCCTTCTCTCTCTGTGTAACTCTGGCTTTCAAATAAATAAATAAATCTTAAAAAAAAAAAGTCCAACTATAGTTCATACATCATTCTCTTAGTCTCCCAAGCGGGTACAGGGTCCCAAGCACCTGGGCCATCCTCCACTGCCTTCTCGGAACACAGCAGAGAGCTGGACTGGAAGAGGAGCAACTGGGACTAGAACCTGGTGCCCATATGGGATGCCAGCGCCGCAGGCGAAGGATTAACCAAGTGAGCCATGGTGCCAGCCCCTGAAGACAAGTTTTACCATTAATTCTCAAGTACAAATCATTAAGAACAGAGGTCCTACATGGGGAACAAGTTGTTGATTTAACAATTGACACTCTCATTTATGATGTCAGTAATCACCTGAGGCTCTTGTCATGAGCTGCCAAGGCTATGGAAGCCTTTTGAGTCCACAGACTCCATCAATATTTAGACAAGGCCATAATCAAAGTGGCAGTTCTCTCCTCCTTTCAGAGAAAGGTACCTCCTTCTTTGATGGCCCCTTCTTTCCACTGGGATCTCATTCACAGAGGTCCTTTATGTAGGTCATTTTTGCCACGGTGTCTTGGCTTTCCATGCCTGAAATGCTCTCATGGGCTTTTTAAGCCAGATCCAAATGCCTCAAGGGCTGATTCCGAGACCAGAGTGTTGTTTAGGGTGTTTGTCATTTTCTGAGTCTGCTGTGTGGCCTGGTGAGCATCTTTTTGACTAGTGACAGTATGTGCAAGCTTCACTGGCACCTGATTCTACTTGGAGCACGAGCATGGTGCTACTTTACTTCCACCTTCCAAATTCAACTCTAATTCAGCACTTACAGAGAAGAGAATTCTGGATACCATGGATCCAGCTTAATCAAGTTGAAACAGTACAATGTCCCTACAGTTTTCCCGAGTTACTACCTTTATTTACATAATAGACCCATGAGATTGTGAACTCAAGTTTAAAGTTTTTGAAGTTTGTCTTGTAACTCAGTTGCCTACAAGATAAAACTTTCTGTATGCTATTCAGACATCTCAACCCTGCTGCTGCTGGATCTTCTTAGTTTAGCTCTTAGAGCAGTCACAGAAATTTTCTGGTCCCTTACTTTAGTTAGTTACCCTTAAAGGAATTTAAAGCCCAGTGCTTATCACACTTTAAAAGACGAACTTGCCCCATTGTTCTTTTTTTTTAATTACTTTATTTATTTGAAAGTCAGTTTCACACAGAGAGGGAAGGAGAGGCAGAGAGAGAAAGGTCTCCATCCGCTGGTTCACTCCCTAATCGACCACAACGGTCAGAGCTGTGCTGATCCTAAGCCAGGAGCCAGGAGCCTCCTCCAGGTCATCCCATGCGGGTGCAGGGGCCCAAGGACCTGGGCCACCTTCTACTGCTTTCCCAGGCCACAGCAGAGAGCTGGATCTGAAGTGGAGCAGCTGGGACTCGAACTGGTGCTCATATGGGACACTGGCACTAAAGGCAGCAGCCTTACCTGCTACACCACAGCATCAGACCCTCCCCATTGTTCTTATTTGAACTTATTTTATAGCAGGAAACTATTTAGTTTTTATCCATAGGCATTTGATTATAGTTGTCTGTAGGTGATAATTTAAGGTACCCTGGACTACCAGCTTCTTACTGATCCCTGACAGAAATATTAATGCTTTTAAATCTACTCAGATCAATGAATTAATTCCATATTCCAGTTCTTAAATTTCTTTTCTCCTGAACCAACTTCTGGTACAGATTGGAAAAATCCTTTAATAACAGTTTTCATTTTTTGCAAGTCTTTTTTATTGTACTATTCTCAGTTATATTGGAGAGTTTAGAAAAGACTAACAATAATTTCCAAATATTTTGGGTGGTAAAACAATTGATTTTATAAACAGAATTTAAAATACTATCTTAAATAGCTTATGAGATTTTTTTTTTAATTTTTTTTATTTTTTTGACAGGCAGAGTGGACAGTGAGAGAGAGAGACAGAGAGAAAGGTCTTCCTTTGCCGTTGGTTCACCCTCCAATGGCCGCCGCGGTCGGCGCACTGCGGCCAGCGCACCACACTGATCCGATGGCAGGAGCCAGGAGCCAGGTGCTTTTCCTGGTCTCCCATGGGGTGCAGGGCCCAAGCACCTGGGCCATTCCTCCACTGCACTCCCTGGCCACAGCAGAGAGCTGGCCTGGAAGAGGGGCAACCGGGACAGAATCCGGCGCCCCGACCGGGACTAGAACCCGGTGTGCCGGCGCCGCTAGGCGGAGGATTAGCCTAGTGAGCCGCTGCGCCAACCAGCTTATGAGAATTTATTGAGTGTTTATTATGTAGATATTAGGGGCATACAATGGAAATTTAACAGACTGTCATCGTTTTCAGATTTGACATTCTATGTGTTAATCATTGGAAACCAATCCAAGATATATAATTATTTGTATTTTCACAGAGGCAAAATTTTGAGTTTTTACCAAGGCAAAAATCTGAGTTGTGTATATAACGCAAGTATGTGCCATCAAAACACTTAACCAGTTTGTAAATCTTGCTGATAACTATCAACTCCACATCTCGACTTGCTGTTATTCTGTCATCATTGTGTGACTCCTTACATGCTATTTCTGAAATGTATTGTTTAAAGAATATTAATAAGATATGCCTGTGTACTCAACACCAACTTTTAGAAATGGAACACTAATGCTGAAGCCCTGTTGAACTCTACTGTAACCACTTCCAATCTTCTTCTCCTTTGGAACCATCTCCTCAGTTCGGTATTAATCATTCCTTTGTTTTTCTCCAATAATTTTACCCAATAAGAGTTGCCTCTTAAAATACCATTCAGTTTATTTTTGCCTAACTTTGAACTCCTATATTTAGAAACATCTGTTTCTTGATACAATAAGTATTTCTTGATCAGCTGTTCATAATACTCACCCATGTTGATGCATGTATAATTTATTTATTTTCACTGGTCTTTTTTTTTTTTTTTAAACTTTTATTTAATGAATATAAATTTCCAAAGTACGACTTATGGATTACAATGGCTTTCCCCCCATACCGTCCCTCCCACCCACAACCCTCCCCTTTCCCACTCCCCCTCCCCTTCCATTCACATCAAGATTCATTTTCGATTATCTTAATATACAGAAGATCAGCTTAGTATACATTAAGTATGGATTTCAACAGTTTGCTCCCACACAGAAACATAAAGTGAAAAATAATAGATGATTTTTTAAAATGATGATGAAATCAGAGCAGACCTATTGTCATGTTTAATCCCAGTGAGAGTCAAGTTGGGAATTGATAATTTCTTTTTTTTTTTTTTTTTTATTTTTTTTTTACAGAGGATCAGTTTAGTATGCATTAAGTAAGGATTTCAACAGTTTGCACCCCCATAGAAACACAAAGTGAAATATATTGTTTGAGTACTCGTTATAGCATTAAATCTCAATGTACAGCACATTAAGGATAGAGATCCTACATGAGGAGTAAGTGCACAGTGACTCCTGTTATTGACTTTACCAATTGACACTCCTGTCTATGGCATCAGTAATCTCCCTATGCTCCAGTCATGAGTTTCCAAGGCTATGGAAGCCCTCTGAGTTCTCCGATTCTTATCTTGTTTAGACAAGGTCATATTCAAAGTGGAGGTTCTCTCCTCCCTTCAGAGAAAGGTACCTCCTTCTTTGATGGCCTGTTCTTTCCACTGGGATCTCACTCGCAGAGATCTTTTGCCAGAGTGTCTTGGCTTTCCATGCCTGAAATACTCTCATGAGCTTTTCAGCTAGCTCCGAATGCCTTTAGGGCTGATTCTGAGGCCAGAGTGCTATTTAGGACATCTGCCATTCTATGAGTCTGCTGAGATTCTCACTTCCCATGTTGGATCACTCTCAAGCCATTCTTCTATTGAAGGATATTTCATTACCCTAGCCATGAAAACACTGTTTTACCTAAAACAGTGTTATAATGATTTTTTAATTAATTAATTTGCAAGAGTTTCAGATAGAGGAGAAGATATGGAGAAAGAGAAACCTTCCATCTACTGGTTCACTCTTCAAAAGGCTGCAACAGCCTGGGCTGGAACAGGCTGAAGCCAGGAGTCAGGAGTTTCTTCCCAAGTCTCCTCCTTGGTTGCAGGGGCACAAGTACTTGGGCCATGTTACATTGCTTTCCCAGGCACATTAATGAGGAGCTGGATTGAAAGTGATCACCTGGGACTCAAACCAGCACCTATATGGGATGCTGCAGGCTGTAACTGACACACTGTGTGAGTTTCTCTTGGATAAATTTATAGGAGTAATTTGCTGAATAAAGAGTATGTGCAACTTCACTTTACTAGAGTATGATAAATCATTTTCCAAAATGTTTTTTACTGAAAATAAGAATTTTATTCAGATAGAGAGATGATTTGCATGGAAATCATGCATTTACAAGTTCAAATCAACAAAAAGATTTTTAAAATGCTCAAATTTTCTTATTTATCCATATTTGCCCTTCTAGGAAAGCTTATGTAATAAAGAAAATTTTGTTAAATTTTTTAACTAGCCAGATTTGCACCAAATGTATCAGAGCTGAAAAAGATGACCTTATTTAAAAAAAATTCAATGATGGCACTTAAATAACCTCAAAGATATACTTGAGCTATTAATTGAAACATAGTTCATTGGGAGCCTGCACTGTGGCATAGCAGGTAAAGCCGCTGCCTACAGTGCCGGTATTTCATATGGGTGCCAATTCCAGTCCCAGCTGCTTCACTTCTGAACCAGCTCTCTGCTGTGGCCTGGGAAAGCAGTACATCCTTGGGCCCCTGCTTCTGCGTGGGAGACCTGGAACAAGCTCCTGGCTTCAGAATGCACAGCTCTGGCTGTTGCAGACATCTGGGAAGTGAACCAGTAGATGGAAGACCTCTCTCTCTCTCTGCCTCTGCCTCTGCCTCTCTGTAACTCTGCCTTTCAATTAAATAAATAAATCTTTATAGAAAAAAAAATAGTTCACTAACTTATACTAAATACTTATATTTATATTTTTGTTTAATATATGAAAATCTCTATAGAACAGTTCATCAACAAATTACTTTATGAAAAATAAATGTTGAAGATATTCTAACAAGATATGTGCATTTATTTAGCAAGCAAACTTAACCATCAAAAAAATAGTATTAGAACCATGCCCAAATGAAGCCATGTCTGTGCAGGGCAAAGACTGTAAACAGTCTCAAAGAAAATTCATTGCAAACTCAGGTTATTATCTGCATTAATCACCAATGCAGTCTCAAAGGACGTGCCTTCATTCAGTGAGGGTGGTCAATTAAACAACAAAATTACAAGTTTTGTACAAAGGAAAATGAGTGGCTTTAATACCACAAATTTTTTAAATGGATATCTACAAAGATATTTGCAATGCCCTGTCATCACAATTGACAGAGTTTTAACCCAGAGATAAATTCTTGCTACTGGTTTTCTTTTCTTTGTAAAGGAGGGGAAAACAAAGAAGGGAAAAGCAGAGAGATCTGAAAGCTTTGCTAATTTGCTTTCAAAACCTGGCCTGTGGCACGGAGCATGCCATGCTGCAGCCTGCAGCCTGCTCTCTACCCTGGGTTGTGGGCGGGCACCGTCAGGACTCTGCGCACGGGATCCGCTCTGTTCTCGGTGTATAAATCCACAGAGAAACGTGAATGGATGACAATGGAAAACGGTATTGGAACAGTGGGAATCAGAAATTTTGCACAGGAAGCTTTGGGAGATGTTTATTGTAGTCTGCCTGAAATTGGGACAAAGATTGAAAAAACAATGAGATGGATGCTTTGGAAAGTGTGAAAGCTGCTAGTGAACTCTGTGCTCCTCTATCAGAAGTAGCTGAAATTAATGAAGCCCTTGTAGAAAACCCAGGACTGGTCAACAAATCTTGTTATGAAGATGATTGGCTTATCAAGATGACACTGAGTAACCCTTCAGAACTAGATGAACTAATAAGTGAAGAAGCCTATAAGAAGTACGTAAAATCTGTTGAGGAATGAAAGTGGAACATGAACTAGTATGGAATAACTTAATCCAGCAGTTATCTTAAATTAGTGGTAGACAGGACTTAAAATAACAACTTCTAGCAATTTTGATGGGAAGAGATACTACTTTCAACTCTGCTACTGGAAGAAACTATCCTCTAACTTTGTAATTGTCGCTCCCCGTCTTCGTGGAGGAACGACACAGGACCCTGCGTTGTTCTTTTGTCTGCTCGGCCCTCCCCGGGTTTGCTGCTGGTTCTTCCCGGATTGGCTACCATCCCTTCCACCTCCGTGGAAGGGCGGTTCCCCCTGCCACATTCCCCACTTCTGCGAGGGAGCGGCACACCGCTGGCCGGCTCTCTCGGGGGCTGCACAGGTGTTCCTTCAGATGTTCCTCTTAGATGTTCCTGGTGCATGTTGTCTCTCTCCTCCTTTATAGTCCTCTTCCGCCAATCCCAACTCTGCTACCCACACACCAAGTACGCTGCTCTCCTCCAATCAGGAGCAGGTCCTGCAGCTTGTCAAGTTGGTGAGAGGCAGCTGGGTAGAAGCTATTTTCTCCTCTCCCAGCGCCATATTGTGGGAGAGCAGATGCATAGAATAAGTCTTAATTCCAGTAACTTAGTCTAGTCCGAGTTGCTCCCCACAGTAATGATTGCAGATGAACATGATATGCATCATTGTCACAGTACCTCATGATTTTTATACTAGCCTCCACGCACTAGTATTCAGAATACGTGAAGTTATCTGTGGTAAAAACTAGTTATACAAATAATGTAATTCAAGGATGACATTGTTATCTTAAGCCTTATATAATATCGTAACTTGCCTATACCCATCCCTGGATTGGGGTCAAAATATGTAATGATCTTTCCATTGGAAGTAACTGGGTAGCAAAAACAGTTTTTGTTAGTTGTGCAGTGCCAGAGAAAGAACAGTACTGTGTTAATTTTACAATATACTGCATTTGCTGGTGCTGTTTATATAGTGAAGCAGTAGCTCTTCAGCAAAATAAGAAACATAATAAAATTTTTACCTTCCTTATTTAAAAAACAAAACCAGTGACCCACCAAGAGGACTAGCTCTGTGAGTGTGTTTCAAGATTAAACATTCCTAATGAAAAAAATTAGGCAAAACTATAAATACTTTTATGCCATATGTGTAGGAACTGGGTTAGGAGAAAACTATGGGGATTATGGTCTGATTATGGTACTTTTTAAAAAAAATTTTAAGGTGAACAAATTTAATGTATTTCATATATATAGACTTAAGAACATAGTAATACTTCCCACTCTACCCTCCCTCATGCCCACACTCACCCTTCCTCCTCTTTCCTCTCTTATTCCTTCTCTTAATTTTTACAGTCATCTACTTTGTTTACTTTATACTTATAAATTAACCCTATACTAAGTAACATTTCAACAAATAGAAGAAAAAACACTGTCCCTCAACAGTAGAGACAAGGGCTGTAAACAGTCATCAAATTTCAGAATGTCCATGTCACTCCTATAAATTACATTTTTTGGTACTCTATTAGTTACCACAGGTCAGGGAAAACATGGTATTTGTCTTTTGGAGACTGGCTTATTTCACTAAGCATAATGGTTTCCAATTGTATCGATTTTATTGCAAAAGACAGGATTTCATTGTTTTTTACAATTGAATATAAACAATTTCCTTATCTAGTCATCAGCTGATGAATATCTGGGTTGATTCCATAACTTAGCTATTGTGAGTTGAGCTGCAGTAAACATGGGGGTGCAGATCACTATTTCGTATGCTGATTTCATTTCGTTTGGGTAAATCTCCAGGAGTGAAATTGCTGGGTCATTTAGTAGATCTATCTTCAGGTTTCTGAGGTATCTCCATACTGACTTCCACAGTGGCTGCACCAGTTTGCATTCCCACCAACAGTGGACTAGGGTACCTTTTCCTCCACATGCTCACCAGCATTTATTATTTTTTTGGTTTCTGTATGAGAGCTATTCTAACTGGAGTCAGGTAAAACCTCACTGTGGTTTTGATTTACATTACCCTGATTTTGGCTACTGATCCTGAGCATTTTTCATGTGTCTGTTGGCCATTTGAATTTCCTCTTTTGAAAAATACCTGTTCAATTCCTTTGCTTATTTTTAGCTGGATTGTTTTGTTGCTGTTGAGTTTCTTGAGCTCTTCATAGATTCTGGATATTAATGCTCTATCTGTGCATGGTTTGCAGATATGTTCTCCCTTTCCGTTCATTGCCTTGATCCATTTTTAGTTAATTTTTGTGTAAGATATAAGGTAGGGCTATTATTTTGTACTTAGTCATGTAGAGATCCAATTTTCCCAGAACCCTTTGTTGAATAGACTGTCTGTTCTTCAGGTATTCACACACTTTAGCTCCTTTGTCAAAGATTAGTCAGTTGTAGAAGCATGGATTGATTTCTGGGGTTTCTGTTCTGTTCCACTGGTCTACACGTCTGTTTTTATGTTGTTACCAGGGTGTTTTGATTATAATTGCTTGTAGTATAACTTGAAATCTGGTATTGTGATGCTTCCAGCTTTGTTTTTGTTGTTTAATATTGCTTTAGCTACTTGGGGTCTCATGTTTCCATATGAATTTTAGATTCATTTTTTTATAGATCTGAGAAGAATCATTGGTATATTGATTGGGATCGCATTGGATCTGCAAATT